ACTGAGGCAGGAGAATCGCGGGAGAACTGCAGCCTGGGCAACAAGAGCAAAACTCCATCTCAAAAAATAAAAATAAAAATAAAATAATCTACAGCAATCAGGAAACATCTCTAGCAATGATACCTAACAAGTGCTCAGCACTTTAAATGTGCCAGGCATTGTGCTAAGTGTTTTCATTTACATTATTTCATTTAACCCTCACCAGTCCCATAGAGTTCAGGTGTCTAATATCACAGAAGAGACAGAAGTTCACAGAAGGATGAGAGAGGTTGTTCTTTTTTTTTTTTTGAGACGGAGTCTCGCTGTGTCACCCAGGCTTAAGTGTAGAGGTGCTGGCCGGGCGCGGTGGCTCAAGCCTGTAATCCCGGCACTTTGGGAGGCCGAGACGGGCGGATCACGGGGTCAGGAGATCGAGACCATCCTGGCTAACACGGTGAAACCCCGTCTCTACTAAAAAAATACAAAAAATTAGCCAGGTGTGGTGGCAGGCGCCTGTAGTCCCAGCTACTCTGAAGGCTGAGCCAGGAGAATGGCGTGAACCTGGGAGGCGGAGCTTGCAGTGAGCCGAGATCGCACCACTGCACTCCAGCCTGGGTGACAGAACGAGACTCCTTCTCAAAAAAAAAGAAAAAAAAAAAAAAGTGTAGTGGTGCTATCTCAGCTCACTGCAACCTCCGCCTCCCAGGTTCACGCCATTCTCCTGCCTCAGCCTCCTGTGTAGCTGGGACTACAGGCGCCCGCCACCACGCCTGGCTAATTTTTTGTATTTTTAGTAGAGACGGGGTTTCATCGTGTTAGCCAGGATGGTCTTGATCTCCTGACCTTGTGATCCGCCCGCCTCGACCTCCCAAAGTGCTGGGATTAGAGATGTGAGCCACCATGCCTGGCTGAGAGGTTGTTCTTTCCCAAAGTTTTCTGCAAACATTCAGGCACCACCATCCTGGGCCAGGCCTGAGAATGGCCACTGCACTAGGGATACCAAGAGAAAGACAGCACCCTGCCCTCTAGGACCTAATGGTCTAGTGAGGGAGACTGACATGTAAAATAGCAGACTCATAGACAGGTTTCGAATAGAGAAGGGAGTGTTAGAGCATAGTGCTTGAGGATTAGGGGACAAAGGGAACAGAGAGACTGGGGACAACAAGCAAACCTCTCTCTCCCACGACACCCTTTGGCCAAGGACAGGCCTCACAAGCAGCTGTGGAACTTGGAGGCGCCATGTGGGAGACAAACCCTGCAGCCTCAAGGCCAACAATGAACAAAGGCTGCCGGGCTGTCTGGCAGGAGAGGAGATCTGACAACGGCCTGGCCCGCCGTTCGATCAGTGTAGACATTCCTTCTGGACTTTGAAGCCTGAAGAGCTCTCCTTTAGCTGTCTACACAGATCAAATAAGCTGGATGACTGCCATATCTCCACTTCGTTGTGTGGCTCCATAGTCACAGCCAGCTCCATAACAATCCAACCAAACCATCTGAGCAGAGGCAAAAATAATTCTCATGGGTAAAGATAGACAGTTCCAAGATGTGAACATTAACTCCTTGCTGCCACTTCAGAAGAGAGTGGATCTTGAAGTTCGTTTTAGGAAGCTTTCGAGAAGGGCGATTCTGCCCCTCTCCAAAGTGAAGTGGCAAAGCTGTTGTCTCTCCTTACAGCTGAAAGCCCTTCCTATTCCAAGGCTTATATAGGATACCCACAGAAGCTGACAATGAGCTGTGATCTGGCTCTCGGAAAGGCAGCCCCACCCTAAAGGACAGGGATTAGGTCGGGTGCGGTGGCTCATGCCTGTAATCCCAGCACTTTGGGAGGCTGAGACAAGAGGATCTCTTGATCCCAGGAGTTCGAGGTCAACCTGGGCAACATAGTGAGACCCTGTCTCAATTTTTTAAAGTAAAATAATAATAATAATAATAAAAGGACAGGAATCATCCCACCTCAAAAGCACCTTTTTATTCACAGGCTCATTCTAGGGGAAACTTTAACCCAGCCCTCTCAGTCCTCAAGCAGCTGTGAGGAGCTCGGGACATTGTCACAGACTGGCCGAACCAGGCATCTCCCAACAAACCCAGAAGCCAAGTGGCATTGCTAAAAAAGATTAAAAATCGACATGAGTTCTAACATCTACGTTCCTTGCTATGGTTTCCATGGAAATAGACATCTGCTCTAGGGAGAAAGAAAAGGTGGGGGGAAGCAGTGTAAGTGCTTTAAAATAATCAGTGTTTTGAAAGATTTATTTCCTTTTTCTGTCACAACATTAATAGTTAGGAATGTGAGATTTTTGTGTGGCAATTTATTGTACTTAAAAAAATGCATTAAATGAGTGGGACTTTCCTCCGTGAACCTCCAGATCAAATACAAAGGCTTCAAGATAAAAAGCCTGTTCAGTGGGTAAGGACCTCTTGGGCTTGGGTTCCTTGCTCATTTGTGTTGCCTGCCTATCTGTCGCTTTCCTGAGGGGTCTCATCCCCATCCCTCTCCAACTTTTCTAATGATTTCTGAGACTCTGTTCAGAAAAATGACAGATGGAAGCACCTAGCCATTTTGAAGCCAAATTTGGTCTGAGAAGCCTTTCAATGCTCAGAATCTGAATTATTCCTGGTCCTGCTCACAGGCTAAGTGAAAACCACTTAGATTGGCTTCGGGGGGAGGCCGACCCCACACAAGGGCGATTGTTGGAAAAAGTGCCGCAACAAGCATATTTCAGGCAACAGCGCATTGCTAATTGTTTGCTTTGTGTAGTGTGCTGCTGCTCGTATGATCCAGTTTTTATTGTCTCGGGCACCTCTTAGTTGTATTTTATCTCTGGCACATGCCTAGTGGCTAACTAGGCATGAGAGTCTTTCTAAATTAGAACGGCTGTTTCAGGAAGGTTGGTCACATTTATTTCTTGATTTGGGGAGATGCAGCCCATTAATAAAATAAAGATACCTCTTCTGTTTAGTCAAGATCTCAAAGCAGGTGCCTTGGTGTATTGACCACCAACGGAGGACACAGTCTTGGTCAGAGAATGGGAGGAGGCGGGGACCATGTACATTTCATTTATTTTTTTCCCTCTTCTTGTGGGAGAAAGGGCCAGTTATTCTAAGCCTCGGTCAGACCAATTTCCTTTGTGCCTCTGCTGAGGTTCTGAGCTATCCAGGTCAGGGGGAACAGCGACCTTGTGGCTCCTTTTTTGATTTTTAAAAGGAACCCAGTGCTGCTCTGGGGAGCACGTGCTCTGAGAACAAAAGCAACACTTAACTGCAATCTGTGTAGTCTAAAACGACTATTGCTCTTCCTCCCCTATCATCCGCGGAAGGCTTGGCAGAACAGATGGAGTCTGCATTTAAGCTGAGTGGCTTTGTTAGACCAAAGGCGATCAAATTCCAGAGCCTCACGCTTTCCTGCACAGGTCCCTGGTCACCGGCTCGGGAACCTGAGGATGCTGGCAAGAACGCACACAGCGAGGGAAGGGACACGCCCGCGACCTGTGGGCTGAGTGGATTAGAAATTACGATGATGTCACAATATGGGTGACACGCCGGTCTCGGTGTAGGGCGCCGGGGGCAGGGGGCCCCGCAAGGGCGTGGAGTTGCATTGTGTTGTCACAGGGGCTCGGGCGTCTTAGGTACCCATGTGGGTGGGGCACTAGAAGGGGCACTGCTCTGAGTGCTGCCCTTGGGGCGAGGCGGGCACGTGGCTCTTACAAGGCGGGGTCCAGGCGGCCAAAGTCTGGAAAGGTAGGGAAGGACCCCACCACCACGCCTGCTCGCCCTGCCCTTGTTCTCGAGAAGGGGGAGCTGGTTCGGACCTAGTCCGGGGTCCACTGCCACTACCTCTTCCACGGCGAGACCACCCCCGCAGCCCCAGGCCCACACCTGGGGATGCTCCCCATGCGTCCCGCAACCCCCCGCATTGTCCTCCTGCCCTGCTGGCCAGGACTACACTTCCCGGGGTGCTTCGGGGTCCCGGGGGGCGGGGCTCCACGCGGGTTGTTGGGGGCGGGGGCGGCACGTGCCGCCGCTCTCGGCCAATGCGGAGCCCCGCGGGGTGGTCACGTGCCGCTGTTTGGCGCTTTTGTGCGCGCCCGGGTCTGTTGGTGCTCAGAGTGTGGTCAGGCGGCTCGGACCGAGCAGGTGGGTGCGGGGCTTGGAGGAGGCGGCGGCTGGCTGCGGCCAGCAAGAGGGATCCGGCCGGCGGGAGGGGCTGGGCCGTGGCAGCGACCCCCTGCTGCAGGGCGGCGGGCGGGGCTGCGGGGCCCGGAGGGGCTGGTGGGCGGGGGTCGCTCCGCTTTGTGTGTGGCTCGGGCGGAGCCTCGCCTTTGTCCCCGCTGTCTGGGGGCGCGGCTGTTCGTGGGCAGGGGGCTGGGCGAGCACCCGGAGTCCGCTCCGGGGTGCCGTCGACGAGACAATAGGGGGCGTGGGCCCTCATTTACCTCACTCCCTCTCTTCCCTGCGGGCCCCGCCGGGGTCCCCATTGTCTGAAGGGACGGGGCGGCGCCCCCCGGGACCAGCGGCTGTAGGGCCAAACTGCGGGCAGCCAGGGACGCGACCCTCCCCGCGACCGTCCCCTGGCGACCGCAGCTGGTGACTGAGGGGCGGCGCTCCCGGTCCCCGCGAGGGTTCTTCTGTCTTCGCGGCCGGACGGGCGGACAGCTTGGATGGCGGCAGGCTGGGCATAGGGACGGCGGGAGGCGGTGACGAGCCCACCGCGGGGCCACCCGGGGGCCTGTTCCCAGGGCCTGCCCCACCCGGTGAACTGTGACGGGGGTGGTGGCGGCGGCCTGGAGGTGTTTTTGGCGGGAGTTGGGGGGGGGCGTCTGCGCGGGGGGAGTCAGGCAGGGGCGGAGTTACCCGGATTGGACCGTTAGCCCCGCCCACCCCTCCCCTTCCCACGCACGCGGGCTCTGGGGTGTTGAGAGTTCGGGGAGATTCGAAAAGGCGCGGGGAGGAAGGGGCGGGGCCAGGGGCCGGAGCGCAGGGCGTGCTCTGATTGGCCGGAGGCGACTGGTCCTCTTCTCGTCTGGACCAGGACCACGCCCATCCTGGGTCCGGTGCTGCGTCTAATTTTCTGCTTTGCCTAAATCTTGTCGCTGCCTCTGGTTTAAATTTCTAGCTTTTGGCAACCTGTCATCCTACGTTTTTAGTACTAGCTGGGGTCTACAAAAATCATAATCTTAAAAAGATCAAGAGATATAGCATTTTTCATGACATAACGGCAGCAAATATTATAAGTAAAAATCTAGAGGTTCAATAACATTTTGCTTGCTGTTGGGCAAGGGAGCTTAAACCTGAGGGACAATAGGAGTTCAACATTATTGGTTACTATTAGCTTGGGCGTTTTTTTATCCACCACGTCAGACACAGACAAAGCAGGGGTGGGTATTTCATTTACACAATGAGTTGTAGGCAGTATTAAGATGGCTCCGGGGGCACTGTTGAGTTGAATCTGGAATATCTTCTTACAGTTTCGGGGAAATGTTAAAGAGTTTATGGGGGAGAAAGATCCTTCACCCTTGTGACTTCGTCTGATTTTAAAAATCCGAGTTTTATGAACGAGCAAACTCAGTTAACTTGATTTTCTGCAACCAATATCATATTCAGGTCATATTTCCCAATATGTTCATTTAGATTTTGATAATTTTTTTCGTGGTTAATGACGTCTTTATTCTACGTAGTGATTTAGATGTGGTGTGAGATCTCTTTTGGTTGATGACATACAGAAAGGCAAAGAAAGTGATTGCATGTTTTTGAAAATCATTTTCAGGGCTTTCCTTATCCCAGTTGATTGTGCAGAATACACTGCCTGTCGCTTGTCTTCTATTCACCATGGCTTCTTCTGGTAGGTAATCTATTTGGAAAAGCTGAAATTGTGATGGGCTTATGATTTTAGATTGAGGTGGCTCAGGTCTTCACCTTTGATTTGGCACTTATGGTCATATCCAAAACCTATTTTATGAATAGGATAATTAAAAAATGATTATCACTTGAATGTGCCAAGAGCTCATAATTGTTTATTAGACAGTTTGGCTTAGTCTGAAGCAAAATTGTGGAGTTTGCACAAGTCTTTTGTTTATGAAAGCGATTGTCAGACACTGATGTCTCAAAACAGTATTTATTAATCCAAAAATGTTGAGCTTTGTTTTTCTGGGAGATGGTTTTTATTTTTTATTTTTTTTGAGACAGGGTCTCACTCTGTTGCCCAGGCTGGAGTGCAGTGGCTTAATTATAGCTCACTGCAACCTTGACCTCTGGAGCTCAAGTGGGCTCAAGCGATTCTCCCACCTTAGCCTCCATAGCATCTGGGACTATCGGCATGGGCTACCACACCCACCTAATTAAAAAAAATTTTTTTTTTGTAGAGATGGGCTTTCCCTTTGTTGCCAAGGCTGGTCTCAAACTTCAGGGCTCAAGGGACCTTCCTATGTTGGCCTCTCAAAGTGCTGGGATTATAGGCATTAGCCATGGTACCTGGCCTTGGGAAATGGTGTTTAGATAATATCTTGCTGCAAACACATCTTCCTCTAGTGTCAGTAGGCTGATAGGAATAAAAAGGGGAAAAAAACCACAACTTTCCTCATCAGCCCTAATTTAATACATTAAATTGATTTGGGTTTTAGAAAATTATAGTACTGTTTATTAGAATAGGAGAATCCTGGTTTTCTGAATTATAAATATAATCAATTCTAGATATCCAGGTGAAAGAACTGGAGAAGCGTGCCTCAGGCCAGGCTTTTGAGCTGATTCTCAGCCCTCGGTCAAAAGAATCTGTTCCAGAATTCCCCCTTTCCCCTCCAAAGAAGAAGGATCTTTCTCTGGAGGAAATTCAGAAGAAATTAGAAGCTGCAGAAGAAAGACGCAAGGTAAACGAAGCAATTCACAGAAAGCAGGATATTAATTTATGTAATGGGCAGATCAGTTTTATTTCTAGTAACAAGAAGAAAACAGAATTGTAGCTACACTGTGATTATTACATATGCCAGTGATTGGAAGGAAATACCAGTCCTCACTTATTGAACTCCTGTTACGTGCCAGCTCCTTTGTTTATATTTTTCTCCTTTAATACATGGTGTTGCCTCAAATAATGGAAATTAGAAACGGTTTCAGGAATGTTAAGTCGTTTTTCTGCAGTCATACAACTAGTAAGTGTTGGGGTCAGAATTCAAGCCCTGGTCTGTCTTAAATCGAAGCTCATGCTTCCTCTTTGAAAAGATATGTTGCCAGATGATTCTTTGGCACTTTGGTTTTGTTTTTTGAGAGCTGTACAATAAAAACATTTTAAATTGCTAGTGTGATTGTGTTGCTCAGCTGGTATCATGGTAGCTTTTCTTATCTAAGCAATTCTATTATAAAGTAACTATCATTAAAAGCTAATTTGAAGAATCAATAAATATGCTAGTTGTAGAAAATTTGGAAAATACAGAAATTTATAAATGGAAATTAAAAGTATTCATTATCCCACTTCCCAGAAGCAACCAGTGTTAACATTTTGGTGTGTTTCTTTCCATTCGGTGTTACTCATTAACAACTGTACATAACTTTTCATTTAACTCCCTTTCCCAACCCTGATTGGATTGATTTTAAAGTTGGGGCAAGTAAGGCACAAAAGGTAAGGGTAATAACCTTCCCCAGACCAGCATAGTGTGATTTGTAGGACACATACACACCCGCCCAAAGAGCCACAGTGCTTACACTAAGAGTCATCTTCTATGCTTCTATGTAAGAGTGTGAGTTCATGGAGTAGGAGGAAGCAATACAACCAAAGGTTGGACAGTGGAAAGTTTTTTAGACATCAACCCTGGCCCTGTAGTCATTAGCCTGTGCTTTACATAGTAACTGGCTAAATATAGTGAAACTCCCATCATGACTAGGATTTGGCAGAAGAGAATCAATAGAACCAGTGGCAGATGCTCTGTGGTTATCCTGCAAGTCAGTGGTTCCAAACACATCTGAATGTGTTTTGAGAACAAGCTGTTCTGTTGAAGGGGTCATACCAAGGTATGGTCTGGTAATTAATGCAGTTTCCTGAGACAAAAGCTAAGAAGACTTTTCCTTGAAACAAATTTTTCTGTCTTAAATAGTAATCTGCAGGCTTAGTCTTACATTTCCTATCATTGTTTTATCCAGTTATGGTTAAAATTTTTACAATGAGCTAGTTTTCTTTGGGTAGCTTTTGAAGTTAAATAGTGAAATTCTTTACAATAAAAGTGCCACTCCCAAGTACATATTCCTTAAGTCATCCAGATACCATTAAGCAGTAAATCTTACAAGGATTTCCTTAAGGACTGATTGGGTAAGAGATTTCTGAACAGATAAGCAGTTTTCCAAAGTTAAATACAAATACTAGAAAAAATACCATTTTTACAGTATGATAGGGATAATTCAGGTCCTAACTTCGGTATTATTTAAACCGGACCTTATTTTCTGCCCCTTTTCAGTCCCCTTAGTAATTGATTTTTATTGTAATTTTAACTAATGCTGAATACATTTTATTTTTTGAGGCAGAGTCTGTCACCCAGGGTGGAGTGCAGTGGCGCGATCTCGGCTCACTGCAACCTCCACCTCCTGGGTTCAAGCAATTCTCCTGCCTTAGCCTCCCAAGTAGCTTGGATACTACAGGTGCCCGCCACCACGCCTGGCTAATTTTTGTATTTTTAGTATAGGTAGGGTTTCACCATGTTGGCCAAGCTGGTCTTGAACTCCTGACCTCAAATGATCCACCCACCTTGGCCTCCCAAAGTGCTGGGATTACAGGCGTGAGCCACCACCCCCAGCCTGAATACATTTCAAAGTGCCTAGCCTATTAAACTTTTTTTTCCAGTCGCATGAAGCTGAGGTCTTAAAGCAGCTGGCTGAGAAACGAGAGCACGAGAAAGAAGTGCTTCAGAAGGCAATAGAAGAGAACAACAACTTCAGTAAAATGGCAGAAGAGAAACTGACCCACAAAATGGAAGCTAACAAAGAGAACCGAGAGGCACAAATGGCTGCCAAACTGGAGCGTTTGCGAGAGAAGGTTGGTTTCTTACCTTGTAAAAGGGTTGAGCCTGGAGTTTCATGCACCAATTAGTTGGCTTGAACTAAGTGCTTTGATAAAAGGTATTTGGTGTCTTTTTGTCATCCATTTGGGGCTTAACATGTTAAATGAAAGGTATATTTTAAGATGGAATATTCAGTAATTCCCAGCATAATTGCACAGTCCTTCGAAGACCAGTATGCGGCTTGTTAGGTTCTACAAGGGACCCAGGAGATTCGATGATGTCTCAGAACTCAAATTTTGTGGTTCCCACAGGCTGTAATATATGCACCGAGGTTGTGTTGGGCCTCTTTGAGGTGGGGGCTGGGGGTCGTGACTTGACAGGCTTTTTTTTTTTTTTTTGACTGATGACACCTTACCCTTCCTTTGCAGGATAAGCACATTGAAGAAGTGCGGAAGAACAAAGAATCCAAAGACCCTGCTGACGAGACTGAAGCTGACTAATTTGCTCTGACAACTGACTTTCTCCCCATCCCCTTCCTAAATATCCAAAGACTGTACTGGCCAGTGTCATTTTATTTTTTCCCTCCTGACAAATATTTTAGAAGCTAATGTAGGACTGTATAGGTAGATTCAGACTGTAAGATGTTGTTTTAGGGGCTAAAGGGGAGAAACTAAAAGTGTTTTACTCTTTTTCTAAAGTGTTGGTCTTTCTAATGTAGCTATTTTTCTTGTTGCATCTTTTCTACTTCAGTACACTTGGTGTACTGGGTTAATGGCTAGTACTGTATTGGCTCTGTGAAAACATATTTGTGAAAAGAGTATGTAGTGGCTTCTTTTGAACTGTTAGATGCTGAATATCTGTTCACTTTTCAATCCCAATTCTGTCCCAATCTTACCAGATGCTACTGGACTTGAATGGTTAATAAAACTGCACAGTGCTGTTGGTGGCAGTGACTTCTTTCGAGTTAGGTTAATAAATCATGCCATAGAGACCCTCCTGGTTGATACTTGTTCCAGATGGGGCCTTGGGGCTGGTAGAAATACCAAGGCACAAATGACCGCACGTTCTCTGCCCTCAGTTTCTTGCCCCAGTGTGGTTTGCATTGTCTACCTCCACAATGGCCACTTTGTTTGGATGCCTCAGCCCAGGTCAGCTGTTACTATATTCTTTCAGATGTTTATTTGCAAACAAGCATTTTTTGTTCTGTGTCCCTTTTAAAAGGCAGATTAAAGGCACAAGCGTGTTACTAGAGAACAGTTTAGAGAGAATCTCAGGTCCTACTTGGTGGTTTGCTTGCTCTACATTACAGGTGGGGCATGTCCTCATTCTTTCCTGCCATAAAAACGACGACGCGAGAATCAGAATATTAATAAAACTTTATGTGCTGCTGTAGCAACTCCTGTGAAATGACTAAAGGGAACCTTAATTATTTCTAGAGTAGCATTTGACAGATACGTCATCTTGTATCCAGAGGCTGTAATAGTCCCCATTGTCAGTGCATTGCCTCTCAATTCAGGGAACGCCTTTGGCAGCTTTCCTGTGCTATTTGGGAAATAGCCTAATTATATATATTTTGTGGCTCTTAGACATCTGTATAAAAGCTCTTGGAAGCCAAGCACTTACAGCAAAAGATGATTGCTAATACTGTGGTGGGGTCCACGTGTTGCTAACGCATGTGCCTCTGTGGCTTGGGCTGTATCTTGAGATTGGGGTTTTACCAAACTTATTTATGAGAACAACAGCCTACCTCAACTTACCTAAGATTGTTAGGATTAAATGGGTTTGTGGCAAGAGAGCACACTTAGAACATAGGTATTTAGCATTCCATATAAATCACGATTACTGTTTTCAACCAGAGGCTAGTGAGTGATCTAAGTTTATACTCTTGAGTTGGAAATTATTATGCAGTTTTTGTATTCCTTGAATTGGCTTTTAAATTTACTTAAATGATCAATCAGAGGAATTCTGAACAAAGCTTGGTTTTAAGAGTTATGCCCATGTAGGGCAAATAGAAACAAGTACAAGTGTAGTTGAATACAACAATAGGTTCCGAGCAATATCTAAAGCAAGAGGACAGGATGAGGCTTGTGTGCAGTGGTGCAGCACAGTTCATCTTGGCTCCTGTCTCTGGCACATAGTAGGTGCCCTGGGATCTTTAAAATGCCAGTTCTGAGTAGATGGGAATACAAAGAAGGCCTGAGTGTAGAAACTTGGCATAATGATACAAGGTGTCCTACAAGTGGCAGTAAGCTTTTGTTCATCTAGGACATTTAGGGAGGGAAACTGGCCTCAGGAGAAAGCAAGGGGGAAAGATCAACATAGATCTGAAAGGATGCCCCGTCAGTTGCCACCAATCCCACAGTGGCCCTGACTTCTATCCGAGGGTGATCCTGAGCCCCTGCCTTGTGACAGGCTTAAGTCACAGGAAACTGAAGGGGATGTATCTTACCACAGAAATAGAAGCTCTGGCTTTTCTATTTCACCTTGACCTTTGGAGAAGCACTTAGTCCTGGACCCCCATTTTCTCCTGGATAAAATGAGACAGTTGGGGAACATCAGCTAAGTAACTGTTACTCCCATATTCTTTGTATCTGGCTTGGAGTGAAGCAAAGGAGCGGTGGCACCTACGAGCTTCTGGGAAGTGTCTCTTGGCATGCTTTCCCGGGCCCAGCGTTCTCTGTGCCATCATGGGAGTCTGCGTCTGTCCCAGTGGGGCCAGCCTCTCCCGGCAGCACTTCCAATAGGTTGGCCTAATAAGGCCAGAGTGGTTTGACAAGCAGTTGAGGCTGTCACCAAGGTGCACACTCCGTTCCTTTTGTCTTGAATGGAAGATGAGGCTTGTCGCTTCCTGAGGATTTTGTACTTGAGCCTTATGATTGACTGGGCTCAGTGGAGAGAGGTTTGAAGGACGTGAAGGAGGCCCTTAAGTTAACATTTGACAAGCACCTAGATTGTGCTCCACTCTGGCCTGTGTGCTAGGGATGGAGAAAAAATGGGATGGGGCCAGCACATCATGTGTCCATGTGAGGGGAAGGAGAGCTGTAGAACGCTTACTTACCTGAGGGTGAGGCTCTCAACTACATACTTGTACTCACCATGGTGCTCTAGTGCTTTGGTAAAAGGAGTGATCACAGAGGGCTTTGTGGTCTGGGAAGCTTTGAGAGGAGAAAGCACTTGAGCTTGTCCTTTGGGAAGTCAGATGACCCTTCCAAGCCAAACCCCAATAAAGCACTTAATTGTTAAACACCTAGTAAGCCTGTGATTATAGCATGCACCGAGACCCTGCCATAGTTAATGGCCTGTAGTAGGCCCTCCAGGCAGGCCCCCTCCCCATTTCTTTATTCTAAGCAGTGGAGGCTCTTTGAAGGCTTTTGAACATCGGGACTGCAGTGGTTAGTAACAAAGCCATTTTAAGGAAGAGAAAGTGGAGGCAGGGTGAGTTGACTGGAGAATGGCTGCCATACAGGCTACAGTGGTTATCGTGGCTGTTGGGGCAGCACAGGGATGAGGTGGGAGGGCCTGCTGGGCTCTGAAGCAATCCATGTGACTGACTGCACTGAAGAACTGGGACATGTGCTCTAAACTTGAGAAGCTGGAAGAGAAACAAACCACTCCACTTGGGAAAATGGCAGTGCCACTATTTACTGAACACTTGACATCCAGGCATCGTGTTCATTGTCTCCACCATACAGAGAAGTGAACAGGCAATGTAACGTACCCAAGGTCCTAAGCTAATAGGAGCAGCTTACCCAGGCAGTCCTGCTCTAGGCCCTGCACAAGGAGGGGGGCTGCTCTGACAGCTCAGCGTCCCCTCATCGCCTGGAACAATTCCCCTCTGCCTCAGACCTGTTCACAAGATTCAGTGAGCAAATGAAAGTCCTATGTTCAGCTGGTCCCACCTCCTTAAAAAGGCAGGGCCTCTTGTTATCCTTGCATGCCTTGGAGTGAGGTCTCATCCCCCGCCCCCAGCACTTTTATAAAGGTGCTCCTGTGTACTCTGTATCACTCTCCCAGTGGAGAATTCTGATTTTCAGCGATGTTTTAGCTCTCCCAGTAAAACTGGGCACCCAGATGAGTTTGGCTACCTTACTGTGAATTCGTTTGTTTGAATCACTGTTAAATGTGGTTCATTTAGGAATACAGAAGATGAAGACCAAGTTTCTTTTTTTTTTTTTCCCTGAGACAGTCTTGCTCTGTTGCCCAGGCTGGAGTGCAGTGGCACGATCTTGGCTCACTGCAACCTGCCTCCTCCCAGGCAATTCTCCTGCCTCAGCCTCCCAAGTAGCTGGGATTACAGGCATGCACCACCATGCCGGGCTAATTTTTATATTCTTAGTAGAGACCATGTTGGCCAGGCTGGTCTTGCACTCTTGACCTCGTCATCTGCCTGCCTCGGCCTCCCAAAGTGCTGAGATTATAGGCGTGAGCCACCGCACCCAGCAAGGCCAAGTTTCTTATAGAAAAGCTTCCCCCTTTGGGTGAAAGTTGGACTAGATGCCCTAGAAGTTGCCTTCCAAATCCGAGACTGTGATTCTCTACAGGGTTGGATTGCAGACCACCTGAGATCAGAGACCATGTCATAAACACAGAGCCGAACTCCAAGTCCCCAGACACATTGTTGGTGAGTCAAGTCTCTTGATACTTGCCTCTTCCCTTTTTGCCCAGGTGAAAGAAAGGTCCAAAATGTCCCTGTGGCTGCGGCCTCTGCCAGCAGAAGCTGGTATTCTGTACTTAAGGGCATAGGAAAGGGATTCTGACTTGTTTCTTACATGCACTTAGATTTTTAAAACTTAGTTGTAGGGTTTGATGAGCTCCAAAATGCAGCAGCTTCGTGGAGGGGCTCTGGTTCATAGCTGGAAAGGCCTGGCCTTCTTCCTTCATGGCCAAGAGCAGAGCAGTACCTTCCCAGTCCTTGGACACCAAATCCTACTGAGACAAGTAGGCTGCTGAAATTGGATCCACAGGAAGAAGAAACAGACAGGAAATGAGCCAGCTGCCTCATTGCAGCCATCTCAGCAGAAGAGGACTGAGCCTCTGCTGGGCCTGGAGCTTCCAACCCCTGTGGCTTCCTGCTCCCCTCACTGGCAAAAAGCCCCAGTATTCACTGGAATGGGGAGGTCCCCATGCTAAGCCCTAGGCTCCCCTCTTCCCTGCTCTCACAGCTCTCTACTTAATAGCAGCAACTAATAATTATTTGCATTGTCTCAGTGAATCCCCAGAACAACCTTAGGAGGTTATCATGGCCATTCCACAGGCAAGAAGTAAGGCAACTGGACCTAGATTAGAGGATTTGCCTAAATTCACAACTAGCAAGCAGTGGACTCAGGACTCAAACCCAGACTATTAACCCCCATGCTGTACGGCAGCTCCTCATGTATCACAAGTGTTACTCATTAATTCAAGTGTCTCCCCAGCTAGAACATAGGGTCCCTGAGAGCAGGGGTTCTGCCTGTCACATTCACCACTGGATCTCCTGGCTCGTGGTGGGAGGTTAATGTGCTGGATTAAATAATGATGAGTGGGTGGGTGACTCCCACAGTCTGCTTTGGGGCACTGGCTTTGTCCTCATCTTTTGCGGACCCCATGTGGAGTCAACCCTGTTTTCTAGAAGCAAATGATGGGTCTTCACCTTCTTTGCAGATGGCTCTGAGGTGCACAATCCTTAATGGAATCCTCCTGGATCCGAACACACAAACTGGTGGCCTGCAGCCAATGTTGAACCGTAGGCATGTTGCATTCAGTGCATGCTGTGTTTTAAATTGAATTAGCTGACAATTCCATGTGAAAATCTGATTTCAAGCTTATCTTGAAAAAAGCCGACAGATCTGGCAACCCTGGGCTCGCAGTCCCTCCCAGCTGCCGTCAGCGGACTCTGGGCACTTGCTGCCCCCTCGAGGTAGGACTTGTGTTCTGCAGCTCTCCATCCCACTTGGGCCCACCCATTTCTGTCTTT